ATTATAGTTGGGAAGATTCTGGGTTTGTTTTTACAGGAATAGCAAAGCATATAGCAGGTGCTGGTTATGGTGTTTATGCTATAGACCATCCTGGTTTTGGTCTATCAGATGGTTTACATTGTCACATTCCAAGTTTTGATTACTTAGCTGATAATGCTATTGAACAGTTCACCAAAATGAAAGGTAGGTATCTAAATTTTTATCTGTTTATGGTTTTTGTGTAGAATCTGGTTTTTTGGGGTTTTTCTTAAGTGGTTTTGGTTCCTAGGGAGACCTGAATTGAGAAATTTGCCTCGGTTCCTGTTCGGACAGTCAATGGGAGGAGCTATTGCCTTGAAAATTCATTTGAAAGAACCTCAAGCTTGGGATGGTCTTATCCTTGTGGCTCCAATGTGTAAGGTAACATCAATCCCTGCATAATTTCTTAAGGTAGCTATTGCATTTTCTATTATGTAATTGGGTTCTGAAAATAGAGTTTTGGTGCTTCCAAGTAAATTTTACTCGCGTTTTACGCCTAAGTAGTTTGTGACTTTGTGTTTGAAATATCTGACCTTGAGTTGCTCCAAGATTTCAGAAGATGTGAAACCTCCTAAGCTAGTCTTGAAGGCGTTAATCTTGATGTCAACACTATTTCCTGAAGCAAAGCTCTTTCCAAAGCAAGACTTGAGCGAGCTGTTCTTCAGAGACCCGAGTAAAAGAAAACTGGTACTTTCTCTTAGTTTCTCAACCGGAAACACTCTTTGAAGCATTTTTGCTGACTTCCTTCTTTGATGTTTTTGTTCTCTGTGGATCAAGTGCGAGTACGATGTGATATGCTACGATGACCAAACACGTCTAAAAACCGGTGTTGAACTTCTAAATGCGACAAGAGACATCGAGATGCAAGTTGATAAGGTTTGTTGTTGAACCAAATAAACAAAGGGAAATTTCTTACCATAGATAAGCACGCCTCTCTCAAAAACTTCCGTTGTTACTTCAAATGTTGCAGGTTTCATTGCCATTGCTGATACTTCATGGAGCCGCAGATAAAATAACAGATCCCACAGTGAGCAAATTCCTTCACGAGAAATCAATCAGCCAAGACAAAACTCTAAAACTCTATCCAGGTGGCTACCATTGCATTCTAGAAGGCGAAACCGACGAAGATATTTTCACCGTAATCAACGACATAGTTGCTTGGCTCGATGCCCGCTCCGTTCCCAAGTAGAGTCAAATGATATCTCATATCTCCACAATCCTATATTCACTACTGTCTTATGAAAACTCTCGAGTCTCTGCGATTAATTACAACAAAATTAATCACTCGATTAGAGGATATGCTTGTACAAAAACGCTTCCCAACTTCAATGTATTTCGTCTTGAATAAAAGTAAACCATTTTCTGATGAATACGTTTAAAATGGATACTCAAAGTTTAGTTGCATAATAAGTAGACAAGGAGAGCATCGCGAGACTTCAAAAAAATTATGTTAAAAACAGAGTAAGAAAGAAAAAACGATGAAGATATAAAAGTATCTAAAGCCCAATAAAAGTGAGGCCCATTAATTAATAAGGCAAACCAATACAAAAGCTGTCTAGATTTTCGTCCAAGCCAGTGCTACCACCGTCGTCTTTACTATTTTCCTGCTCAGATTTCTTCACCGTTAGGAAAACTCCCAAGCTTTACTCTGTAAACCCTATTTTCTCCGATGTCGGTAAGTGTTTCCTCCCGATTTCTCAATTTTGTTTTGTTTTGTTCTGTCTGGGCAATGATTTGATGGGCAACGATGTATTGATTGATCGATCCACCAACATTGTGGTGATTCAGATCTTCGAGTACAATGGAAGTGCGGTTGTGGCTATGGTGGGTAAGAATTGCTTCGCTATAGCAAGTGATCGGAGACTTGGTGTTCAATTACAAACCATCGCTACCGATTTTCAGAGAATCTCAAAGATTCACGATCATCTCTTCATCGGTCTTTCCGGTCTCGCCACCGATGTCCAGACACTGTAAGCTTTTGTGCCAGTTTCCAATTTCATATGTTTACTCTTCTTCTCTATGATTTTAAGGTTAATTGACAAAATTTAAGGAATCGTTTTTTGTTTGTGTTTTGGGACTGAAAGGTACCAGCGACTCGTATTTCGTCATAAGTTATATCAGCTTCGGGAAGAGAGAAACATGAAGCCAGAAACTTTCGCTAGTCTTGTATCTGCCGTTCTTTATGAGAAAAGGTAAATAAAGGGTTTCTAGTTACATTAATCAAGCTGATTTCTTTTCATTTTATGTTGCAAATTTTGATTGGGACTAACTTGTTCAATTTCAGATTTGGTCCATACTTGTGTCAACCTGTGATTGCTGGATTGGGAGAGGATAACAAGCCCTTCATTTGTACAATGGATTCGATTGGAGCCAAGTATGCTCACATCCTTTCTTTGCTCAGTCTCCTCTTATTCAAAGCGTTACCTTTCATTACTCATACGGAACACCATTTAGTGTCGTTAGTCACTGAGTGTAGTCCTGAATATTGCTAGGTGAACCAGAAGGGTAGTAATGGATCAGTATTTTAGTTTTAGTTGGAATATTGCTCTGGTCGTTTGTCATCCAACACAATGTACTATGTTATTGTTTGCTGTTTCAAGTTCGAGATCTTAATAGAGTTGGGATGGTGTGGGCATGCCTTGACACTTGTTCTTTCTAAACGTAGGGAGTTGGCTAAAGACTTTGTCGTCTCTGGAACTGCTTCAGAATCACTATATGGTGCCTGTGAAGCCATGTACAAACCAGATATGGTATGTGCCTTTCAAAAGCTTCTTTTTTATTACCAGGTCACTGAAAACCAACCAGTTGTTGCTAAGATCACCGGAAAATTTAGAAAAATCCTTCATATGTAGGAATTTTACTTTAGAACGTAGATTTGGTGGGAGTAATTGTGTGCATAATGATGCTGGTCTTAGATGACGGAATATCTTCATTTGGCTTAGTTCTGAGGTGATTTAAATTCTATTGTAGAATCGAGGTTTGGTGGGGATATTTGTGTGCATAATGCTGGTCATAGATGACGGATTTCCAATAGTTTTCTTTCTGATATCTTCATTTGACCTAGAAATAAGATGTTTCAAAGTTCAGGCTTGCTAGTTATTCTGTGATCCCTGCTATAATTTTGTGCGAAATGAAGTTTTGAATCCAAAGGCATGCATCATCATTCTAAAAAGTTCAACATGCATTGTAGCAGCCTTGATTTGATGATAATGTATATTATAACTCGACTTTGGCTGATCCTTGGTTTAACAAATGCGGATTTTCAGGAAGCTGAGGAATTGTTCGAGACAATTTCACAAGCACTTCTCTCTTCAGTTGACCGGGATTGTCTGAGTGGATGGGGAGGACATGTCTATGTTGTGTAAGTTTTGTTCTCCACC